GCATTCTGTTTGTTTGCTTTATTTTGCAAAAGCACAAATCTTGTTTTTATTGTGAGTGTGCAAAATGTTTCAGCTGTTCGATCGCATCGGCGCCTCGCACGCACACACCCCACATATTCTAGCAATTCAAACTTACATCGCAGTCTGTTCATTATCAAAATAAAATAGTCAGCCAAACACATAAAAGGTTACTCTGGTCAGTTTAAATAGACCGTAGTATACCGGTCCTCTCTGCTGTTATGCCAAGGACTTTTTTGCTCATGTGAAGAGGATGATCTTTTCCGTCTATATGCGAATGCGTGTAAAGTACAAGCCTAGTTTACATTATAAATAATAGTTTAACATTCAAATACATTGCGAATATGGAAACATTTGGATTTGTGCTGAATGAGATGTGAGTAATTACCTCCAAATACATCTAGCCAAACCTGCGCTCGCTCTGTCTCGTATGCACGCATGCACTGTCACGATCTAATGCACTGTAAATGGCCCTACGTGAAAAATTAATTGCCCCTCCTCTTAAATCATGAAAGAACTGTGATTAACCACATTATTTTAGAAAGCTGAGTTAAATTTCACTAGCCACACGCAGGCCTGATTACTGTCAGACCTGTTGAATCAAGAAATCACTTAAATAGAGCCTGTCTGACAAAGTGAAGCATTCTTAAAGAGCAACACATCATGCATCGATCTAAAGAAATTCAAGAACAGATGAGAAACAAAATAGTTGACATGTATCAGTCTGGAAAGGGTTATGAAGCCATTTCTAAGGCTTTGGGACTCCAACGAACCACGGTCAGAGCCGTTATCCACAAATGGAGAAAATTTGTAACAGTGGTGAACCTTCCCAGGACTGGCCAGCCTACCAAAATTACTCCAAGAGCGCAACGACGCTACTACGCTACGTTACTATGGCACTGATCCAGGAGGTCATAAAAGAACCCAGAACAACATCTAAAGAACTGCAGGCCTCACTTACCTCAATTAAGGTCAGTGTTCATGATTCAACAATAAGAAAGAGACTGGGCAAAAACGGCATCCATGGGAGAGTTCCAAGACAAAAGCCACTGCTGACCAAAAAGAACACAAAGGCTTGTCTCATATTTGCCAAAAATATCTTGTTTATCCCCAAGAATGTTGGGCAAATGTTCTGTGGACTGATGAGACAAAAGTTTAACTTTTTGGAAGGTGTGTGTCCCGTTACAAATTTTAAATTGTAATAATATTTTGCGATAAATCCAGCCTTATTTTTATACATAATTACATAAAAAACTTCAAGCAATATTTACTTAATTGAGAAATACTGAAAGACTACATTCCATTGTTTGATTCGCTTAGTTAATATTTATAATAATAAGTGCTAATATTAATCTATTATTATTTAAATTAAATGGTCTTACATTTTACAATAGATTTGTTAAAAACTAATTATTTAGTATCAGAATTGAGAATTGTAAAATTTCACCAGTATTGGCACTGACTACTAAATCTTTTTTGAAATTTTGTGATTGTAATTCCTCAGGTAAGGACAGTGTCAGTGCAGGAGCTGTGGATGTAGAGGATTTTATCAAGACTTTTGAAGATGTACCTGCAGTGCAGGTAATGCATCTTTAATTGAAAAGATCATGCTATTTATCATGGACTCCTTGCATTTAAACACATGATGCAAGAAATAAATATGCTGTTCGTTTTCAGATATATTCCAGTAAGGAGTTGGAGGACTCCATGAATAAGATCCGTGAAATTCTGTCAGATGACAAGCAAGACTGGGAACACCGTGTCACTGCTGTAAGTTATTCCTGATCAGTTTCACTGATACTTTTGTCGACATTGTGCGCACTCCAACTTGAAGAATGTGTCTTCAGCGAGGCACTAAAGGAACTTATCATGTATTTAGCTGAAGAAAGTGCGGTCACTGCTTCTGGCTGGTGCAACCGAACACGAGGGTTTCCTTCAACATCTCCGGCTTTTAGAAGGTGCCTTCAAGTTGTCGGCTAAAGATCTTCGGTCCCAAGTGGTTCGAGAAGCCTGTATCACATTAGGGTATGAAGCCATTCTTTCTTACCATTTTTCTTCCAGTCTCTGTTAGGATGTTTATTTAATATAGTGTTAAAAGTGTGACATCGATTACCAAAATCGACTTGTTTAGAGTCAGCTAGTGGGATGCCACCTTTAGATGTTCATTGATCAAAGTCACACTTCAGCAGCAGGCCAATTTTTCACAAATCCAGTCTTATAGGTATTTCATCATATTCCGCTTCATGTTTTTATCTCAAATATCATTGGGATACAGCTTTAAAAAGTGCTGTTTAAAGGGGCAAATTAAGCTGTTGTGCGGGTCTCTGTGATTGAGCATGGCTCAGTATGGGTCTTTAATTATTCTGGGTCTTAATGTGTTTCTAATGAAGTGGAACCGAGCTGACTGGAGCGTACAGGACAGCTCTTCTGCTAAAGTGCAGCCACTTGATGGATATCTAAACAAGTCCCATGCCTTAATGTCACGCAAATTTGATTAATTTCCATCTAGACCCAAAGTTAACGTATACTTATATTCATGTTTTGTTGATTGGTGGGTTTTGCTGTCTCTCAGGCATCTGTCTTCAGTGCTGGGGAATAAATTTGATCACGGGGCTGAAAGCATCATGCCTACGCTACTCAACTTGGTGCCCAACAGCGCCAAAGTTATAGCCACATCTGGAGTGGCAGCCATCCGACTCATCTTGCGAGTGAGTTCTGATGAAAAGACAATTTTTAAAAAATGCTCTACATTTTACTTTTTTCTCTTCTTTTCACATGTATTAGTGCGTTAAGTAGCCTCTATATAAAAAAAATATACATAAATAAAAAAGAGTGACAATAACTCTGTTCCAAAAACTGCCTGGCTGTCTACTGTCTACAGTAGCTTATATGAAGTAACTCAGTTTTGATATTGGCATGTTGCTCAGAAAACAACACAATAAATCAATAAGCAAAAAAAAATAAAATAAATATATATATATATAGTTAATTGAAAGCTTCCTTAGTATTTGGCCAAAAAATAGGAACCTTTTGGAACAGACACTACATTAGAGCTATAAAGCCTTAAAGGGCTAGGTAGGACATTTTCCTCACTATGTATTTAATGACCCTTTCAGAGGCTTCAGCATTGCGTTTTTGTAATATTTTTATCAAATGTGTCAGTTAAGACATTTATAATGTTACAAAAGTTTTTCCATTTCAAATAAATTTTGCTGTTTTGAAAGTTCTACTCATCAAAAAATTCTGAAAAAATTGTATATTGATTTACACAAAAATGCAGCACAGCTGTTTTCAACATTGATAATAATAATAATTTGAAGAGATGTTACTTAACACCAAATCAGGATATTAGAATGATTTCTGAATGTTGCTCTGAAGACTGGAGAAAAGTCAGCTTTGCCATCACAGAAATAAATGACATTTTATAATACATTCAAATAGAAAACAGTTTTTATAAATTGTAATAATACTTCACAATAATACTGTTTTAGTGTATTTTGGATCAAATAAATGCAGCCTTGGTGAGCATAAGAGACTTCTTTCAAAAACACAATCTTACCAACCCCAAACTTTTGAACACAGATATATATGCTATTCTATATTTTATTTCTTTGTTTAATATTCTAGCACCAAGATTTGTAATGATTTTTTTTGTCTTTCTCAGCAAACACACTTCCCACGCCTTATCCCGATCATCACCAGCAACTGCACTTCTAAATCTGTGGCTGTTCGAAGGTAAACTATAGCTTCCTGAGAAAACTGTTTGCAAATCTTTTTTTTTTGCAGAGCATAAATTAGAAAAGCATTGTCTTCTAATACAAATACTTTTTCAATTTCACCCCATCAGACGGTGTTTTGAGTTTTTAGACCTGTTATTGCAAGAATGGCAGACACACACTCTAGAGAGGTGAGTAGAAAATTATTGATGTTGTATTGAAAATGAAGTTATTAGTTGTTGTGAAGTGCTTTTTGCTCAGGATGCATCTCATAGAATTTAGTATGTGCATGAGTTTGTGTTTATTCCTTCTGCGGACAAATTATCATACCCTCCCTTTCCTGTTTTTGTGACATTTAACTGGTGAAAACGTGTTACTTATCAAAGCTCGGCTGAACGGGCAACTGATGATTCTTTTCGCGGGTTGAATTGATGAGCCAGGGATGTGTGGCAACCATGCATCCCAGCCGTTTCCATGGCAATATAGCCAAGAGCTCTTTTATAAGGAGGTCTGGACTCCCCTTATCTTGTCTTTCCCACTGTGCCGCCTTTGGAGAACTGAGAAAAAGGTCTGGTGTCTGGTCCAGAAAGTTTCAAAGGAGACAGAGTGAATTCACTGTTGGTTCTGCAGACTGTAAGAAACAGAAGTATTCATCATGTTTCCCTACTACCCCAGGCATGTGGCGGTTCTCACTGAGACCATCAAGAAGGGGATCCATGACGCTGACTCAGAGGCCAGATCTGTGGCCAGAAAGTAAGTCAGTTTGCCTTTTTGTTTTGTTTGGTTAGATGTTGCATAACCAGTACTTTGAAATGTTCATTTATGTATTATTTGATTTGATAATGCATTTAACGTTTGTATTAGTCTTCATAATTTCTGTGTTTTTTTTTTTGAGGATGTTCATTTGTTTTGTAGGTGTTACTGGGGATTCCATGGCCATTACAGTCGAGAGGCAGAGCACCTGTTTCAGGCGTTGGAGTCGACCTATCAGAAAGCCCTCCAATCTCACCTCAAGAGTTCTGACAGCATAGTGTCTCTACCGCAGTCTGACCGCTCCTCCTCAAGCTCACAGGAGAGCCTCAAGTGAGACATGCACACATTTCACTACCACCATACATGAATTGGTACATCTTTACAAAATAGTTCATACAAAAGCAAACATTGTATCTGCATTGTTGTTTTGACTATATTTTCACATATAGCTATATATACTTTAAACTACTGTTCAATCGTTTGGGTTATGTTTTTTTTTGTTTTTATATTTATATTTTAAATAAATGCAGTTCTTTTGAACTTTCTATTCATCAAATAATCCTGAAAAAATTTTATCACATTTCCCACAAAAATATTTAGTAGCACAACTGTTTTCAAAAAAGTTATAATAGTTTTTTAAACATCAAATCAGCATATTAGAATGATTTCTGAAGGACCGTGTGACACTAAAGAATGGAGTAATGGCTGCTGGAAATTCAGCTTTGCCCTCACAAGAATAAAGTACATATTCAAATATATTAAAATAAAAAACAGTTAATTTTACATTTTAATGGTATTTGACAATATAACTGGTCTTTTATATGTCTTTTATAAAGTCTTTTAATGCATTTTAGATTAAATAAATTCAGCCTTGGTCAGCAAAAGAGTCTTTCTGACTCTTCTGGTCTTACTGAACCCAAACTTTTGAATGGTAATGTATAACTATGTAGTTCAGTGATTTTAAATAATACTGCTGGCTCTGTGGTGGTTGCTATCCCATGCTATCAAAAACTGTGAGTTATGGCTGTCCCTGTTGAAGCTGCTGAAATATTTGCCAGCTGGCTGATGACAGATTGTTGATTATGCTTCCTAGCATGCTGAGCATGAAGCAGTTATCTCATCTTCAATATTAGACTGCAGCATCTGTTACATTGTCTCCTTGTTGTTCTGTGAAATCATCTTGTGTTAGCATCAGTGTGATGAGTGACAGCTCTAATGATCACAATCTGCTATCAAAAGCAGCAAACACTATTCACACAATATAAACATTTGCTTCCTAAATAAAAATTACTGATTAATTTCATTGCCATTTTATTCACTCTATTCTTATTGTACTGCTGTTGCTAAAATCTTTTTAATTACATTCTTGCAGTCGACCGCTGTCAGTGAAGAGTGTCATTGGAGGCCCTGCTACAAGAAGTAAGTAAAGTAACACTTTTTTACTGATGCTTAGCACTGATGTATACATGTAAACAAGCATGCCATTTTGCCTTGTCTGTAACTCTTGTCTGTGTAACGTTTTCTCAGGTAAAGTGATCAGCTCTAGGGTGTCCTCAACCCCTGGTGCCCTCCAGCGTTCCCGCAGCGACATAGACGTGAATGCCGCCTCCAGTGCCAAATCTCGCATGTCCACTGCAACCTCCCCATCTCCCTTGAGCTCTGCTGCAGCTCTGCCTCCAGGCTCCTACGCCTCCCTGGGTGAGACCCCATCACACTCTATCCATCTTTTCTCCTCTTTCATCCTTAATTAGGAATTTTAATAAAACAGCCATAAAAATCAGTGGCTTTTATGGCTGCAGCGGCCCATTAATAAAACTGATGGGCACCATAGATGCTATTAAGCTGCTCTGTGATGAGGAACAAACGACGAGTGTGTGCCACAGATTTATCATCCCATAAGGGTTTTTTTTTTTTAAATGAAAGTTTAGTCTAGTTATTTTAAAAGCGAGAATAATATTTTTATAAAACGGATTGTTATGACTTTAAATTCTGATCGGATAAGACTGTGTTTGGAGTAACTTAGATATTACTTCCTGGAATAGTAGTATTATTAATAATAATAAAATTAATTATTCAACATGTCTTTTGTAATTTCTTGGCTAAGTATTGCTTATAATTTCTTTCTTTTCTTTTTTTTTTTTGAGCTACATTTTCATTTATCATATTGCTCTTTTTGTCATCTTATTAAAGCAGGAAGCCACACCTTTTGCACTACAGTGTAAAATCATTGTAACACATTATTTTGTGGCTTATTACTTCAATGAAAAAATCTTTTGGTTTTCTCAATATTAGTTTTTCAGCAGAGGGCAGAAGAGAAGGTTGGAGCTTTATAATGAATTGGTCCTCGTGAGAAATATTCCATATTCGTCCAAGAACTCACCACTTAACGTTTGACCACTAACTTTCTTTGTTACTTTTGTCTTTATAATATTTTCTCTGTACTGTTTTCTAATCCCATGATTCCTTATGAATGATCAAAGAGATTTTATTTCCTTACCCACAGTCACACTCACTAGCTCCCACGTGCTTCTGTGCAAAGCCTGTTTCTGAGCAGATCCCTGTCTTCCACGCTTCCATGGGCTTAACTGACTCTAACCTCTGCCTCTTATGCCTCTCCTCTCCTCCACCCTGCACTCCCCTGCTTTTATTTTTGTGTTTTTGCCCCAAAGACGGTGCACCTGGTAAAATAGATGGTAAGATGTGTGTGTGTGTGTGTGTGTGAGTGTGAATGTCCACGCTCTGTGCTGTCGGAGGGATTCGAGCAGTGATTTTTGTCCCATTTGTCGATAATCAACTGTACACCTGGCGATCTGACTATGCTAGTGGTCTGCATGACCTGTTTGCATGATATAGCCCCCCCTCTTCTTGACAATAAATATCAACAGTAGTTCAGTGTGATGAAAATGGTCCCTTGTACTTCCTATTATCTGTTATGTGTCACTGGTACTTGTATGCCTTGAAAACAGTCGTTAAAATTAATTGGCCAAAAGTGTGGGAACCATGTATACAGGTGTGGTAATGGTTTAGTTTATGCTTTCTTCTGAGATTAGCATAGAGAACATACAAAATCGCTGTTCCATACAGGAATCACAGTTTCATACAGGAAATTTGTGTCAAAAAAATAAATGTATTGTTTTGGTTTACAAGATCTCAGTAGCTGCACTACCGTTCAAAAGGTTGGTAAGATTTTTTTATATATTTTTGCAGAATTTCTCTTATGCTTCATTTATTTAAAAAAATACAGTACAAATAGAAAGATTGTGAAATATACTTGCATTTTAAAATAACTGTTTTCATTGCAGCCATTACTCTAAACTTCAGTGTCACCTGATCCCTCAGAAATAAATCTAATATGTTAATCTGGTTCTCAAGAAACATTTCTTATTTTTTATCAATTTTTAAAACTGTTGTGCTGCTTAATATTTTTGTGGAAACCATGATACATTTTTTTAGGTGTCTTGATGAATAGAAATTTCAAAACAACAGCATTTATTTGAAATTGAAATCTTTTGCAATGTTATAAATGTCTTTACTGTCACTTTTGGTCAATTTAATGCATCCATGATGAACAAAAGTATACATTTTCCAAAAAGAAAATTTTATTGACCCCCAAACATTTGAATGGTAGTGTATGATTTGATAAATATGTTTGCTCAAGAGCTAATAATATTCTGTGTTGCGTTTATTTGTACACCAGTCTTCTCAGTAGAGCATGCCATGTAATTCCTTTCAGTCAGTATATTTTGATTGTTTTCATCAGGGAAATCTCTTTGTTTGTCCTCATCCCTTGTTGTTAAAACCTCAGTCTGTCTGTTTTTGTGTCAGTCACTCTAAATCTCTCCCTTCCTCTCAGGCATTTTGTCACCTCATCTCACGCTCTGTTTTTTTTTTACCTACAGGTCGTGTGCGGACGAGAAGGCAGAGCTCAGGGAGTACGGTCAGCGCCAACAGCACTGTTACAGACAGCCGTGGTCGAAGCAGAGCTAAAGTGGTCTCTCAGTCCCAACGTAAGTGTCTGTGTGAATGGATTTTTTTAAAGAACCATAGCATGGTATTGTTTATAATCTACCATGGCTTTAGTACTAAAAGCTTTAGTGTTACAGTGGGTACGGAAAGTATTCAGACCCCCTTAAATTTTTCACTCTTTGTTATATTGCAGCCATTTGCTAAAATCATTTAAGTTAATTTTTTTTCCTCAATTTTAAAGAACCATAGCATGGTATTGTTTATAATCTACCATGGCTTTAGTACTAAAAGCTTTAGTGTTATATTGTGCATATGTTGCAGTGTTAATTTTTGTTAATAAAATTAACAAACACTATTACATGGCTCTCTGAAATACTTTATTCTGATCATTCATTCTGCTGTCTCAACATTCAGCTGGCATATATTTACATATAATGGCCACTAAACTGTATTTTTAAGCTGCTATATACAGCTATGAAAATTTCATGTCTCATATCACTCCACAATTTCTTTGTTTTGACAATAAAATTGACAGTTTTGATTGTGGCATTATAATAATAACAATTAAGTTATTATTTTTATTTCTGTAATTAAGAAATTAATTAAAATTTGTATATATATATATATATATATATATATATATATATATATATATATATATATACACAGAGGTGTG